CTCTCTCTCTCTCTCTCTCTCATATTCACCAATGGGCTTCCTGACAAGGTCCCCTTGTTGCGTCATTCTGTTTACTCGAAACTTCTCTCGGCGTAGCCATTGCTGTCCGGCGGGTCAGTTGTGGCCTCTTCCGCCCCATGCCAGCCTTCAATGGGGCGCTGTGGACGATTGGCCAGACGCGTTAAGCTTAAATGTTGGGGTTCATAGCTTTTATGATGGGGTAGTTATGTTGTGTGTCCCGGTTGGGCCGGGTCAGGGGGGTTCGAGGGAGGGGAGGCGGAGGCGGAGGAGCAGAAAGATTAAGTACACTTGGGAGAATGAAACAAAGACATGAGTCACATCGTCCACAGGCTCGAGACAAGTTAAGCCCGTATTTTTTCTCTGCCCATTCTCCGTCTGCACAACCGTCGTCTCGATTACAGATATACACCTGGATCTGTCAGTGACTCTCAGTTTATGTTCTCTGTTTACCTGATGTCCAATCTCATTGAGTCGTTTGATAATTGCATTCTTCGCCTAAACATTTCATGATATCACGGAGCCTGAGCGATAAGGATTATGCCTTGGTCTCGTTTTTCGACACTTCTATCGTAAACCGCATTAAACTGAACGGGAAAGCTGAGTCTCTGAGGCAAGTTTTATTTGGCAAAACCATTCTTGATCATTTGGCCATTGCATGATTTGATATGTCAAAGTTTCTATTACCATTGTTTTCTTGTCCACTTGTCGCTGTGATTTGAGAGCGTGTGTTGATGTTAAGATAGTACAGTGTCTATTTGGCATGTAGCTGGCCTAACGATGATGGGCACAGGTTTTTCCTCTTTGCATCTAAGAATTGACATATATTTATGGAAAAGTGTGTGTTTCATATCCTGCGGACAAATAGGTTTAGCTTAAAGCTATAAGGTACACTCTTAGTATTAGTGGTTTTTTTATCCCTTGTACTTCGACCATACAAGAGGTCTTGGTCTTCATACCTTCGATTAAACTATAGTGTTATATGCAGCTCAACCCTATGGAGCTATATATATCTCTAGGGGGGGCTGTCATGGGTCCACTTCCCGTTGTGCGAGACGGAGATGTTGGTATATACAGAAACATATGTTTTCTCTACGTTGTGCATTAGGGCACCAGGTGAAATGGCCAAAGTTCACTCAGCAGAGGATCGCTCGGATGCGACCAACAGTATTCTGTGAACTATGAAATGGAGTGTTAACTTGCCTGAAACTGCTGCAGGATATGGATATCTGCACGAATGCAAGGGTGATTTGCTAAAATTCCACATGCCATACTCTATTTTACGTCTTGCCTCCCGGATCGAGACAAATGGGTTGCGGGTGTTTTAACCATTGCGATAGGTTTGCATCAGCTGCAATTGAGTTTGCTCTCTGGGACGCTCTACAAAGAACTGAGAGGACCTCCTTAGTCCAATGAAGCTCTATTCAATCTTACCCTTTCAACAAATATTGTCTTCTGCTGTAGATCCAGTTGCCTAGACGACCGTGTCACTCACTTCCTTTGCTGCAACATTTGCATACAAAGTAACGTACGTGACCTGAAACCTGATTTCCGTGGGATAGAGGTCAAGTTGTTATCATGAGATTGTATTGGGCCATGATTGTGAATCGGACTGAACATCGCGTGGAATCTACCATTTCTTTTGCCTATTTTGCCCAGAATTCTTTTAAGCAGCATGCTTTTATTTATACAAACCTCGCGCTAA